TTAAGCCTTACCGTTTTATCCCAGGACTCTTCCAAAACTTCTGGCTGTGGTCCTGCACAAGGCAGCATGGGTCACGTGTTCCACAGCAACAATAACACTGGGCTGCCCGCAGACGTGCCTGTCTAGAAATCGGCGTAGTGCACTCGGATATCGGCCGATGCCGATACATTAAAAAATGCTAAATATCGGCCTGATATATCGGCCGGCCGATATATCGGTCGACCTCTAGTACATAGTATGTGCACTGTTAATTATAAATGGAATAGACAAAGTACCTACACGTTATCAAAGTTAAGAAGCATTTATAGATTAGCCAGCTGTATTCTTTTCATGCGAGTATGTATCCCTTTTGAGAGGCAAGGAAAAGGGGGGAAAAAAAAAAGACTAAAACACCTAAGTTCCTAAGATGCTCTCTTGCTTCAGTCATTTCTTTTGATGATTAACATTTTTTTTTTACATTTACAGCTTTCAGACGGCCCATAAAGAACATGTGTTTATAAAGGATCATTCAGCAAATTCCTATGCCATAAACTGCACGACTCTGGCACCGCTAAACTTTGATTAATGTTGGAAAGCCCACATTGATCTACTTTAATGATAACATAAGCAGAGTTTTGGTCAACATTACATCCACATTTGATGTGTTCTTGATGTTGTCCTTCAAAACAGGCATACTGCCATTCACCACTTTAAAAAGCATCTGCCAATATTCTGGCAGCATTCATTTCACTGCGTAAATGTCACTGCAAAATTTCACAGCAAATAAAATATTTAGAAGCAAGGCTTAAAATACACTTTGAAGCATTTTATGCAAAATCTGTGGTGAATTTAGAACAACAGCTTATCTGCAGCTACGACACCCAGCCCATCATCACTCCAATTACCTGGGAATCAATTAATACATTTACTTTCCAAATCTACTCCTAAAGCAGTAGAAATGCAAACAAACTAGGATGGTACTGGTCTCCAGTTTTGTAAACAGCATGGTTCTTGCGGGAAAGAATCATACCATTGTAAGATGATCTCCAGATGGGGTAGAGATAGAGTCAGATGATTACACCAGCTGCCACTGTCAGATAATCTGGTGGCTTGGGGAACAAGTTTTTCTTACAATAGAGCTAGCAACACCAACAGAATGTAACAGTTTTGTTAAAAAGTGTTTTCTCTGAGGATGTATAACAAAGGGTATTATGTATGTTCCACTCATGGATAACTCCATTTAAATCCATAAGAATATAAGAACATAAATTTACAAACGAGAGGACGCCATTTGGCCCATCAAGCTCGTTTGGGGAGAACTTAACTAATAGCTCAGAGTTGTTAAAATCTTATCTAGTTCTGATTTAAAGATTCAATGACACTAATGTATGCAGGTGTTCTAAACTACTTAATCCAGCCATTTAAATATTGTTCTAGAGAGCATTAAGTATTCTTTTACAATTACCAAATGATTCCACTGGATTTCTGTAGTTACTGATATTTTTATTTTTGGGTAGTATAACAATGCACATGACTTACAAATGCCCTGTATGAGATAGGCTCCAGGCCACCAATAGGATCTTGAATTAGATATGCAGTTGCTAGATGGATATACAAAAGCTATTATGATATGTCGCATACAAAGAAGAAGGTGTGTGTGTGTTTGCATGCGTGTGTGTGGGAGGGTAGAAGGCTGAACTGAAAACCTAATCATACTTCCATACATACATCCCTGATATCTTGTTTTGCTGGTGATAATTGCCAAAGAATCACTATCAGACAAACACCAGAGACTGCAGATTACTGATAATATTGCCATTTTGCCTATTACATACACAAAAACTTGCATTCACATCAGTTCATTATAAAAGAAAGTTTAACTGCACTTAAAGATGCATTTTAGCTAAAATACTTTCAGCTGTTTGTGATGATTATGTTATTATTATACATATTTTCTATTCCATCCTTAGATGGAATGCCAGTCCATCAAGAGCACATACAAACTCACAATCACACTTCACATTACACACTGTAGGTAATCAATAACTGCCAGTTTGCCCAACTACATATCTTTGGATTGCAAGAAACTAGATCAACGTGTTCAAAATGCAATCACATGTTTTTGATTTTCCGCTGGTTGGTTTTCTCATCATGTGTCAATCTACCATCACGCAGAGAGCAAAATGCTCCATAAAAGCCTGTATTAAACACTGATAAGACAGGATCAAAGGTACCATAGACGCTCATCGATGAATGGTATATACAACACCTCAAATTGCCTACACTGACTTAACACATAAGCGCCCTTTCCCATGCACTACGGCCGGTCACACCGCAATAAAGCCGTGCTTGTGCACCGCATTTATGCCCACGTCTAAACAACCACCGAGAAGAAACAGTAAACGTCTCATACCTGCATATATAATAGGTTTAATTAAAGGGTTACGTTTCATGGAAATGGAGGGCCGATGGGTAGCGATGTCAAGTTGGCACGTACGCCCACACGGCTAGCTATCTTACAAGCTAAAAACGCGGAAGTGTGGATAATAACGATGTTCAGGTAGTTATTATATTTCTCGTACGCTTATATCATATACCACACCTTGAGTTACATTTAATGTATATTGTCTGGTTTACTCGTTGTTTCGGGGGATCGATTTGTTTCCTCACCACTCGGTATCGGCTTGCCGCCTGGTGATGGTCCATCGCGTCGGCTAAGCTAGCGAAGACGGCTAGCGGAAATCGAGATGAAACGCTGCTACTCAGCTAAACCACTTCTCCCGCTGCGGTTGGCGCCCACGCCGTTCGGATTAGATGGTTTGTTTAAATTGCGTAAATGGTGCCTACGCGACTTTCTAGACCAAAGAACATCGTATAAGGCACTCAGACCCAGAGAGCTGTGAGATAAAAAAAAAAATCATAAAATACAGAGAAAAAAAAAACAACCGGAGGCTCCGTGACGTCCTATGACGACGACTCCCGCCTCGGCTTCACTCGGCTTCGCTCGGCTCAGTAGTAATTAGCCGCTGGGACAGCTCGCAGGATTCCTTGTTATAGCGCGCATTTGTCAAAAATCAGTGATATTCGATGAAGCTTTAAAACCTCCATCCAAGTATGTAAGATTTTTATTGCTGAGCGAGGTAATAATTTACTAGTCACCAGTAAGAATTATTAGCATTTATCATATTCAACGCACATTTCATTACATTACACAGACACCATGTCATAAATATAATAAGGATTAAACTCAATTTTCAATAAATTATGTAACTGAGTTTTTTCAAAGTAATTAATAAAAGGTGGAATTCTAGCGCAATTTTTTTGGAATGCAGTAACGCGGGAAAATCAGTTAAGATAACTGGTCTCTTGTTATGGATTTTCAGTTTAATATTTTGAAGGGGTGAAGATAATTTTGCCAGTTCAAAATCATTTTTGTATAAATACAGTATTGTACGGGAGCGTGACTATTATTAAGACAACAGATTTGCGATCCATACAACCACTTAAAATACGTTGACGATTATATTCATCTTTATCGAGTTACGATTTTTCCAAATTATACACGTTAACACAAATAAGGAACTACTAAGAATGAAATGCTATGATTTAGTCAGGGCAATTTTCGCCATTTCTAAAGGTCAATTCATACTTTTAACAATTAAAATAAATACAAACAAGAAACTCATTAATACAGACATGAAATATCAGAGCGGGGGGGCACTATGTTGACGAACAGCCAGGGGTGTGTGTGTGTATATATACACACACACACATATATATAGACAAAGATAATTCAATCAAAATATGTGGTTTGTTTTGGTTTTTGCCCACTTTACTTTATGTATATGAAATTTACCTAATAAAAGTATATTAATACCATATAGATTGTTTAGCACCAAATTACTACCTTTAAAATAAAAAAATATATCAATATTTAGACCAATCACTATATCATTTTTTAAGTTGTTCTTGATAAACTGTTGTATATCTATCCAGAATAATCTTGTGTATACTCAATGATAAAACATATGTATAGCATTTTCCTCTTCTATCCCACAGAAATCACAGGTGCCTAATCACAACATACAGCTCTCACATCGCGGTTTGAAGTGCGTAGAACGTACTTGACGTAGGACATGCTCGAGGGACGCGTACATTATCTCGCGATGTTTCTCGCGGGAGTCAACAGTCGCCATGTTTACGGAGCGGGGCTGAGAGTGGGCGAAAACTGCTGGAAAAGATTCCAATATATTTGCGTGTTCAACTAGCTGTATGCTTCACGCCGATCACGGAACACTCGTTCTTGTACCTGCGAATCTCCCCCTTTCCCTTTAGAAACAGAGCAAGTTGGGTGAAACAGGGTGTACTTTGGCACAGTTAAGCACGTCTTTGGTTCCGTGCGGCCTTTGAGCTAGAGGCGGTAGCTAAGGCTGCCTGCACGTCGCGTGTGTTGCTACTTTCGGTTTATTTAGCATCCTGTCCCTTGTAAGGGTTAAGCCCTACTGTATTTGGGAAGGTAGACTGCTTTCTGAAAAATGATTATAGAGAACCTTGATGCCTTGAAGTCCTGGCTCTCGAAAACCCTTGAACCAATGTAAGTAGCACCCGTTGAGTGAAATCAGCCAGCTAGCTATCTAATTTGCTAACTTCGAAATATAACATGTTCTGTCTGTCTAATACCTAGACTGCTTTGCACCATGAAACATTTAATCCTCTGCTTCTAATTAATCACAGTTAAATTCTGCATGACGGGGAATATCTTAATATTTCAACTGGGAGCTGCAAGTGAAATTAATTCCCACTGGACTTATTTGTTCAAGTAACATTTGTATCAAGTTGAACTAATAGTTCAGTGTCCTCAGCTGTCGTTGCTAAAGCTTAGTTGATACATATAACGGAATTATGCGTCGCAAGCTAAATGTTAATCTGCAACATTGACAAACCGTTAGCGTTGCTGACGCAACGTTTTGCTATTTCTATGTTACTGCATAGCAAATGCGAAGCAATTTATCTATTTATCTTCACTTTACGCAGTCAGTCCTTCCAGAATGATGACTTCCTAGCTTGTAAACAAGTATAAATGCTTTGGGGTGGGTTTGCCGAAACTTTCTTAACGCTACGTCGTTCGTAAGTTCTGCCTTAAGTTGTCTCTTTACGTTCCGACGGTGTTCCCAGAAACGTTCTTAAGTATATCTTCCGTAAGATATTTCGTTAAGGTTGCCCTGAGCCGCTCTTAGCTGTCTCTTATCGCCGTTGTCGGCTCACACGCTTCATTTAAAATAATACTAACATCGTTAAGGGTACAGTATCATAACCAAACATCAGTTAACACAAAAAATAACTGATCCATATGATAAAATGATTTTTCTGATACATGACTACAATCTTTATTAGATTTCGTCCTTGCGACCTGAATGCTTAGCCAATTTGCCTCACTAATGCTTAGATTCATAATGAAAGATAAGGAACGCGTTTGTTGGTTATGTATTTATTTATTAACGGGGATGTATTGTTGTATTTCCCCCAAAAAGCACCCTGGTATAGTCCCTAGTAATCAATACTGAAGCACATAGGATTTATTTTAAGATGGTAACGCAACTTTTCTTTTGGCTATCCTGCCATAGCTCATCCCAATATTAATGATATGCACACACATTGGTGCATGCAGGTGTGTTATAGAACAAAAAATAAAATGTTGATACTAAAATCTGGGGAGGCGGGTTCGTGCACCCAGTCAGCGAAAATCATATTTACTGTTAGATGATTCAGTTTAATTTTGCATTTTATTTTTATGTTCTGCCCAGTTCTTATTAATGCAATATTTTGAAAGATTCCTGGAATGTTATTTACAAATAACACCACTTTCCCTCATGCGGCAGTCAAGCAGTTGCTACATGGAGGGAATAATTCAGAATGTATTCACTGGCTAATGCTACGTTCACACCGCGAGCGTCAAAGACGCCAGCCGTCGCTCCCGCCGCCCTGAACGCGACGCTAGCCAACGCCGGAGACACTCTCTGATGTCATAGAGTGGGCGGGGACAAGGCCACTCAGAATGCCAGGCTCTGAGGACTTTTTAAAGGGGCCGCAAAACAAACAAACGTGTAGCTTATATCTTTGCGCCGACTCCTGATAGGACATAATTTGTCAAATAAATATTGTTGTGAGCCAGTTATTTGCATTCCCGCTTAAAATCAAGTGTTCTGGAGGGAAAATGTTACCTATAAATAGTGTAGCGCTTCTTTTTAAATTTACCTTGGATCACAATGGATGATCGCCAAGTAGTTGCTTGTGCTTTATGTTTCTTTAGTTAACATAAATAGTACTTAAAATGTATGATGACAGCTTCTAAAACACATAATTATGTTTTGACAAACACTAATGCTATAAATAGGTTTAACATTACCGACAATTTGCACTGTTTTCTCTGCTATGGCGCCTAAATTACTACTGATCAAAAAAATATATTATGCACTTCACCATCTCACCTGGAACACCGATTGTTTTGGACACTCTGGTCCATGCCTCATTTTTTTTAAAAATTTATGTCCCTGTATGCAAACAGAGACACATCATATATAACTGGGTACCCGGCCACAGCAATAATAAGTCTCTCCTCCATTGTGCCTAGGAACGGTTGGGTCGGAACAAAAGTTTACACGCTTATGTTCTGCGGCGCTCTCTTTAGCGGAGCATCTCTACATTCCCATTGGTTGCCGCCCAACCGCGTCACAGCTCATTACCATAAAGTTGACTGTGATTCAACTTCTGTCTGACTCTCCCGCTGCCCAGATCGTGACGCGCCGCGCCGCTTCTCAACGCCTCCCGACGCTCCCTCCCATAGAGAATGAATGACTTCCGGTCGCTTTGACGCTCTCGCCGCTCGCAGTGTGAACGTAGCATAAGGGGATCTGCCAAATGCTGTAAATGTATATATAATTAATTATTGAGCCATCGATGTCAACCAATCAGGAGTTCGGCGCCTTTTAAGGTTGCACTGAAGAAGCTCTCCTTTAAGCAGTCTCTTAAGATTGTTCATGAAACAGACATAGGATAAGAAATACCTTTTGTAAGATATATCTTTCGATTCTAAGAGTCATCGTTATCGGGAAACGCACCCTTGATTAATAAACGTGCAGCACTTTAATCTAAACACTTTAAGTTTAAACATTAACATCACGTCTCTGTAATTTGAAAGTTGAGCTGAGAACATACTGGTTCAGTTGAACATTTTATGTAGTGTATGTAAAAAAGATTGCCTAATTTTTTTATGCTGAACTAATTGCTAAGAAGTGAATCCAAATGCTTGGCAGATAATCACATCCATGTAATCAGTTTAGGCTTGTGTTTAGATGTTTTAGCATTTTAGAATTTGTGAATGGAGGGGATTGAGTACGAGACTTTCGCATGAGTAAACTTGTGGAGTTGTCAGCTTGTTGGTAGATGATGTTAGGTTTGAGTTCCATTGCTGTTAAGCACTTGTGGTTTCAGTTTTGTCAGTGTACAAGATGGTGAAATCTAGTTTGTTTTGTATGTGTGATCATGTGAAGTGTGACTATTTCCTTTTGCCTTTTAGATGTGATGCTGACCCGTCAGCTCTGGCTAAATATGTTGTAGCCTTGGTGAAGAAAGATAAATCAGAGAAAGACCTGAAAGCACTATGCATTGACCAGTTGGATGTATTTCTCCAGAAAGGTAAGTTCATGCTTGCACATGTTGGACCTTTGCTCCTTTTCAAGTATGTCATAAGTATAATGCCTAAAATGTGGATGGGATGTTGTGTACAGCTCAATTGCAGAGGTTTGTGAATTGATAATCCTGTTAAACACCTACATGGTTATGAGATGCCAGCTTTATTATGTGAAGCAGTTTTCTGTGTAAGTGTAGATGATCTTAGATCATCCCTGCTTCTTTATTATGATGCATGAGATGTCACCATAATTTCAGGTCTTGGAACGTGCATTGGTCACTAAAGGCTTTACCAT